TTACCCTGGTACTTACAGCACAACATGACGTTACTTAATACGCGACTAGACAATACCCGTGATTATATAGCTTATTATTCAATAATTAACACCATGTAATACGATTTTTGTTTCTGGGTTATCAATATCACTTTCTAAATGGATCAACATAAAAACACGGAAAACTTAATTTCCCTGCAAAAATTTTGCTTTTGTGAGCAGGACAACAAAAACTTCAAATTTACTTAGTATATAGAAAAAGTTTTGGAGTTTCTCGTTATTTAAAGGCAAAAAAGGAACATGAAATATAAAAATGGATAGTATATTTCAACTAAAATTCTACAAATTCATGATAAAGAACATAGAAATGTATAGATTTGCGAGATTGAGTACATACAACTATGTAGATACTATGTAAATATCACTGTGACAGCCATAGAAGAAAATTTTCAGGGGTATAGCTACTCTTTTCTACATACTTGTTGCTCCATTAAATCGCTCATTTGACATAATTGTAATTTTGGTAAAATTTAATTATGTAAGTATATTAACACATCTGTAACATAACAAGTGTTTACGTTTGAAGAAAAATGGCAGTAATTATATCTTAAATTTTTATTGAATATCAGAGTATTTCACCACTAATTAATTATTTTTTGTGAAATTACTCCACTAGTTTGTTATAATTATTAATACAAAGATCGAGAAAACTCCTTCGATTCGACCGGATTCGAATCGACGTCTCTTAGCAAACCGTGACAGGATCGAACCTCCTCAAAGGGCCTCACGAATTTTTATGTACTTCTAACCGGATCTTTGTATTTGGTTTTCAACGACTTTTTAGTTGTAGCGCCATCTATGAGAAATCTATGAACGTAAATTTGAAAACAAATTAAAAAATCCACTAAAATTTATTTCCGTAAACGTAACGTTACAAGAAGTATAATTGCGTCAGTGTAGCACCAAATGAGCGAAACAGAAATCAATAGTCAAACCAGAAACATAACTTTATGAAAATTTGTTACATAGCCATTGACTTACAATTATACGGACGTCGGGTCCGCGCTAAAAAGTGTCCGAACTTATAGAGCGTTAAAATCGTATAAAGAGCGTCATTCACGCTTTAGTCTTCGTTTGTTCGACTAACAGCGAAGCAAGCAAAATTAGACAGTACTGCGATGACATTACAATTTAAATTCAACGTTTTAGCTTTTTCATATTCCTTTACATGTCACTACGTTTAAATAGGTTGACTTGGGACATTTTTTTCGTGGTTTTTGTATTAGACCCGTCGTCCATTTATTTGTATGTCAATGTACATAGCGCTAAGCTTGTTACGTCGGCTTGTTTCTTCCCTATTTAGGTAACTTATGTACACCGAGTATACAACCAGAAGAGAGTGACAACTACACTCCGATTGGCCGGCCCGAATTCGAAACAATTGACGGGTGTCGTCAATTGTTTCACTTCAAATTGACCAATTTAACTAGAGCTTTGCTATATTGGACGAAAATTGCAAAATTACATATTTAATATTTAATTACCGATGAAATGTGATTCCGTTTGTTTTGTAATTAAATGTTTTGCTGTTGTTCCCACACCACCAAATGGATCAGACCCCACTGTTAGAGATATTACCTTTTTTACAATAAATACAGAATGTTTTCGGAATATACGGAGGCGTACACACAGGTCAGTTATTGGGGCGTTACTATTTTAATTTTCTAATTTGTGATTTCAGCGCAAAACAGAATTTATATTTAAAAGTGATATAAGGCCCATTTACCTGATGTGTTGCCAGTGACGGATGTTCCTTATTTCATCTCTATTTCTGGTTATACACTTGATGCCTATGTACTGTGCTGTATAATATTATTACTATAAATAGATCTTTTGTATGGATACCTCATCGTACTGACCTGTAAATAGTTTTCCATTTTGCGATAAGTACGTAAGAGTCAAAGTTAAAAAAAATACTATTGATAGTAATATTTATTATGCGACCTAAAATGTCGTCAAATAATCTGAAAGGTCGAAGAAATAAAACACTAAAACAAAACTAAACGAATGAAATAAAAGCAAAAGTGCGTTAAAAAATAAATATCAGAATTTGTGTTATTAATTGGCGCATCGGAATAAACAATGTTTCACAGACGATTGCGTATTAAAAATAGATTTCACATATAATTTCTGTTTTAACATTTATTTTCAAATTCACTACAGACACGAAAGGAATATATTTCACGCAATGTTAAAGACAAATCCACTATATACTTGTATTTTCAATACGTTTATCGTAATAATCACACACATTATCACACCACAAATTACAACAGCTATTGTGGCTTGGGTTTTTGGAAGTTTTTGCACAGTTTGAACGCTTTAACCCTTAGTGTTTTCTGCTTTCTTTGATCGTATAGCAGCATGTAATTTGCTTTTAAAGTGGTCATCCCTTATTACAGCAAAGTAAGGGAGAAAACTTTCAAATCCAATTTCATGCGGTTAGGATCAAAGATAGTAAGTAATTGCTAAAAGACCCTCGAACTGTACAGTATATGCTTCAATAGCAGTTTATTAGAGAATGTAATGAAAAAAAATACAAGGGACTTCTATTAGTAAATATTTTTAGGTTTATTTTTTCAAACTGATTGAGCGGCAGGTAGAAGAGCGACTCTTCTCATTCTTAGGTTGCGCTTCATAAGTTTGGACTTACATTTTGGGATTATTTTTACATATAATTCGATTATTTGTAAATTAAGGAAAAAAAATTACTTTAATGTAAAAAATCCATATTTTTAATCCTTGACGCACACAAAAAAAAAACAAATTAAAATATCAGATATTAAAAATCACTTACGAAGATTCCATCTCTCAAACTGCCATAGAAGCAATGGAAATGATTATACTTAATACATACATCAATACAAAAATACTTTCATGCTAAACAATTTGTATAACATCGAAAATACATCAAATAGATGTGATAAATAATCATAATATACGATTCAAGTACTGACGTATTGCAGTAGTGTTTAGAAAGACAACGACAACGATTTGGAATGATTATGTTTATACAGGCACATTTCAAGTCGGGAACCTATACATAGATTAACAAATTTTAATATCCTTAACTTACGGAAGTGAGTTCCTTCGAACTGATACTGAATTTTTGCGCAAAGGCTAACCAATATCAGTACGAATAAACTGCACGTATCTTGAAATCTCAATATACAGGTTGTTCGTTAAAAAATGATGGAATCTTTCAACTGTATACTCCTTAGCCCGTTCAGAAAATTCATACCTTGTAAAAGTCTGACAGTTATGGAATTCATCCGAAGGATACCACTAAAAGGCTGCTGGAAAACGAAATCAAATTCCAATATTCACATTTATTCTACTTTTATTTTTATATTTATTAGCGCGTACATAAATATGTTACTTGGAAATTATAATGATAATCTGCTAGGGCGTCCTTGCACGAGCATCATAGATTACGTTGACCTGATGCAATTTTTTTTTAATTGGATGTTAGCAGATTGAAAGCACAGATGTTTAGATGGAAATGTGGAGCGAGGAGACCTCTTTTTAGAGATTGAAGATCTTTAAAAAAGATCAGATCAAAAGTACCTACAAAAAACGGGCTTGTATCATGAGATACTAGTGAAGACAAAATAGGTTTGCCATAAGCGTAGCGAGTAGAGATTTATGATCTCCGTTTAGCCCAATTCGAGACAGGTGTGATGATATGTATGTATGCAAATTTTAATCAACGCTACCAAATAGTACTGTTAGATACCCCAGGAAACCAATTAAAAACAATTTTAACGAGCAAACAGCTCTTGGACTTTTCCCAGACATAAATGTCTTAATTTTCTAAACGGATTATATTTACTAAGGATGTTATTTACCAGACACCTTATATTCTAATCTTAGAAGACTTGTGATTCTATTACTCAAATACATCAATATGTTTTTTTAGATCTTTTAGTTATCCTCGTAAAAATATCTTGAACATTTACATGAACAGGATGAACATACAAACTTTGTAGTATTAGACTATGCTTTTTATATTAATCATATCGGGTCACATCACACGTTTTGCTATCAAACTCATATCATTCATACATTTCATGTATAATGCTTACCGTAACCACAAACTCATTCAGTTGACTTACCTCAGAGGACCAGCCCCTTTTTTCATAAGAATACGAAGAAAATTCGAAAGCGTCATTTTCTTGGTAAATATAGTTTGGCGAACAATCCGTTTGCCGCTAACTAATCTATGCTAGCTTTTTCTACAAAACGGAGAAAAGCGCGTTTTAACCTCGAGTACCCCATCGCTTAACAGCGACCGCGCTTAGAGGAGGTACTCTCATTGGTCCGGTCGATCAAATGATGTATTTGGCGTGCTCTCCACTTTTTTCAGTACTATCTTGAAAGCAAATGTGTGTTTGGGAGAGACTGATGCCGGGCGAGGAGCTGGAGGCGAACGCGGTGGTGGATCTGGTGGCATCTCCGACCGCGTTCGAGATCGTCGCGGTGGATTTCGAATTACAGGTGCTGAAGATGGTTCTTTCTGCATTTGTGGTGTTAGACGATTTGGAGATAATCTACCTGGAGATAGTTCTGGCGTATTTGAAGGCAACATTAGTGGTGGTAAATTGGCACAAGGTGAACCTCGCGACCCTCGACGCTCCTTTAATCCCATCGGTGGAGGCGGTGATGCTGGCGGGTCATCTTCAGCAGCTGCAACCACAACGACAGGTTCCGCCCTCGCTAATGGTATTTTCGGTTCACTTGTATCGAACGCAATTGATCTTCTGAAGTAATTCAACCCGTTTTCAATCTCAGCCAGAGCACGTTTTACAAAAGGAAAACTTTCAGACAGTTCAGAAGCAGACTTACGCACTGGAAACTCTGTGTCGCTATCACGTTTTCTAGGCTTACAACGCTCGAATGTCGGATCCCCGGATGCTGCCACAGTCTCAGAGATCTGTCTAGTCAATGCTGCATGTTTTATAGAGTCTGATTTCGATCGAGGCTCTCTGACTTTTGGCGTCGGAGAACGGCGATCTCCAAATTTTTTGCTGGCGGCACGCTTAATAGACGAAAAGAGGCCAAGCTTCTCCGGTGGCTTCTCTGGCTTCTCTGGAGCAGGAAGATTGGCTGGAGCGACAGGAGCGACTGGAGTAAGAGGGGCAACAGGGGCTGTGGAGGGTCCGGGGACGGGTTCGGGCGTAGGACGGGGGAGGTTCCCCTCGCGTTAGTTGTGCCGAGAGTCTGACGACGGAACATCGCTCGAGCCAGTAGAAGAGAGGGTTGTATTGGAGCCATAAGGGTCAAGCGAAGACTGCACGGACATGGAGCGGCCAGCGCGCCGCACTCGCGCTGGGGAAAGTTTGCCTGGATCTACGCTGGCCGGGTCTGCCTGCAACAACAGAGTATTCAGCACTCTGCTCAGCGTGTCTAGTCTAAGTTTCTAGTTGTCTATATAAATAATAACGACTCTAATTTTTTTTTACATTCACCAAAATTTCGAGTAGTATATACAAGTTATAAGTCAACGCACCTGATAAGCTAGTGCATTCATTATAATGGAGTACGGCACCAATCCCAGTGGATGTACTTCTCTCATTAGCACGTTAGCTGGAATCTTGTGGAACTGGATGTACTCAAGGAAGTTTCCAATGACATCCTTCAGCGATGTATTTGGGTTTGTGTCACAGTATTTTTTACCCCACATCAACGCCGCCTGAAATATAATAAAAGTAATTTCATTAACTTTATGCTTTTGTTTTTAATTGGCCGTCTTTTGTCTAACATTAAAATTTAAGGGATTTAGTACTGGTATGAAACACTTAAAGAATACGGTGTCATTTTCAAAAGACGGTGCAATGGCATACAATATGTACGGTAAATGTTCACAGTTTAATGTAAATTTACATGGTCTCATGGTCTATGTTTAAATACCGTACAAGACAAAGGCGTTTATGCAGCAATGGTCCGATCTACGAAAAAGGTCTTCTTTTGTTTACTTTGGTATAATTTAACTTTGAAAATTTCCTTTTACAAGTTGGATTAATTCTGCATAATTACGTTCAGCTAACCTTTTCAAAGTCAATACTTACTTGGAATTTGGTAAACTCATCAGCCCTTAGTTCCTCTCGAGCAAGAATAAGCCTGACAACATGTTGTGGGAGCAGTGTGAAGGAACCTAAGTTAAGAACCTCATTGCCGTGTTCATCGACGAATTCCAATACCTGGAAAGAGGATGAAAAATATTCCATATAGATAAATTAATTGATTTACATGCCCACAATTTCCTTTTAGCTTTTACTCCTTCCGTCCTACCTTTTGTTTATTGGTTTTAGCGTATACTTGTGTATTTGACCTCAACATCACCTGATGTTACCATTACGTGAGATTGAGGTCACCCACATAATAAATTGTGACATTATCGACTATATATTGTAACGTATTTACTAAGAAAGTGCCTATTTACTTCAGCCTTGAAAAGGCCCATTGAATTTTTAAGTGAAAAAATCCGCACTTCTCTCCTTTTTTATAGGAAACAAACCGAATTGTACGCATATATATGTTATTATTGGTTGAGCAGGCTCGTTTCTCGTAACTCAACGTAATAGCGCCTATTTTGTGAGGGGGTGGTATATACACAACATAATTGTACGATCCACCCACCTCTGGTTCCCCGGAGATAGAAAGCGGAATTAAATCGTGCAATTCCATCTCATACTCTTTCAAATGTATCCGATAACGTACTGATAAACCAACAACCTTGCGTCGGTGCTTGAGGCTCTACAGCCTACTCAAAGTAAGCAGTAAGTGAAGTCTGACGAAATTAAATAGAGATATTATTATTTTGTGAACTTTCATTATGTAGACCTACCTTTTGCACTAAAGACTTAGTACATTTGTACTGAATGTATCTCTCAGCAGAGGCAAGTAGGGCACAGACGGTGTCGACGGTGATACAGCATTGCACGAAGCCTGCGCACGCGCGGCGGAGCTCGTCCAGTCCGTAGTAATCGGCTGCGTTCATCACCCCTGGAGAAAGTATGTAATTTGTGAATTGAATTTATTTTTCCAATGCAATACTGGTAAATATATATTGAAATCAGATATCTGGACTTTTATCTAAATTATTTTACATTACATTTCAACAGAAAAACAATCGAACACCATCGAGCGTCAGAACAGTAAAGAATTTTTTACGGATCGAAAGTTCATACAAGATGGAAGTTTGAAACTTTTATAATTAGACACACAAGACCGCTACTAAACTATGTAGAAAATTTTCATAAAACTGAGCCAAAAATTCATATTATGATTACTAAAATGCCGTTTAAAAATTTTATGGCATGCAACTAAGACTTCATTAATAATGAACTGTTCGTAATAAAAACTTTTAGGATTCTCAATTTTAATAACCGAGTGCGAGTGTGGTAATTAATATATTTTTCTCGCTCCTACAATCATTTTAAGTAATCCATTGTATTTTAGTCGCTACCAATTCATTGTTTAAATTGATAAAAAAAGGTCGATGCGTCATCATCCATCACCATTGTTTGCGTAAATCTAATGACAGTATTGGTGAATATTGGTCGTTTTTATTCAGTAAATTATCGTTTCAATTTCAGAATTGTTTTAGCCCGGATTGTTTTGGCGATGTTAGTATGACATAATTGGTTAATACTGGTCTCGATTTTAATCAGTAAATTTAAATGTTATGCTTCAGCACTTCAATTTCAATATTGAGGACCGTGACCCTTTTTTCATTGGGTTATTTGACCCGGAATGTTTTGGCAATGTGTCGCAGTCCAGAGACGTTCACCTACACTATGACGGAGTTAGAACATTTTTTTATGATATCAAGGGACGGGGCGAACAGGTCGTGCGTCTGGTGGTAAGCGACACGTCCGTCCATAATAGTAGTGCTTTAAATTATATAGTAGTACACATAAGTTGACAACTCAAGCAGCAAATCTATTATACCTATCTATTACAGCTAATCTAAATATATACTATGAGACATCTAATAGAATTTAATTCGATTGTACATTTTAAGACTTCAAATTCCTTCAAGATATCTTGAAGAATGTTTCTAGATAATTTAAAGTAAAAGTGGGCACAACTTTATTAGTAGATCACAAGAGTGCTTTGAAAAATTATCTGTAGGTAGTGTTAGGAGTGATTCTTATCTTTTTTCTCAACTAACCCTTCTAGAATGCTACAAGACCATTTGCAGAACAGGATTTAGTCTTGTAGACAGTTTTTAGACAATTTATAGTCTATGATAGTTTTCTTAGTACTGCTATTTTAAAACCAAAGTAACTAAAACGTTACAAACGTAAGACGCAATTCTCTTAATACTAATAGATTTCAAGTTTAATGGCGTACTAAATACAAACTATCAAATTTGCAACATGGCGAAATTAGATATAATATTTCTGACTTTTTCGCGCAATGTTTAATCGGTCAGAAAGCGCGAATTGATGTGCGTGATAAAAATGTAATATAAAAAAAGTGATATAATACCTGTCATAAAAGTAATGCGCTCGCTAAATTTTAAATATTTATGTATAAAATATAAACTTAATAAAAATACAGTTATCGATTTTCGGTTTTAAATATTTATAGAAAGCTTAAATATACAAAATAACTCACAAAACAAACCATTTCCAAGAAGTTCTACACTTCTTCAAGCTAATTTCAACTTAGATTTACTTTTTTAAAAGAAAATAAATTTTTCTCGGCTACTTCATAGTCATTCTTTCAAAATAAAAATTGCGATAAGAATTTCAAACTTTTTTCAAAACACTGTTGGGAGCATTTTGTCTATAGCTTTACCTATAGAAAAACTTTAGAATACGAAAAGATTATTTTACTTGCTTTAGTGTAGTTGATCTTGTAGAAGAATATTCACTCCTATGAAGCTTTTATGATTGTCTACAAAACGCAATGTTTTTAAGCGACTTTTTCTTTTGACAATATTACGAAACATTTTTATAGAGTAAAAGTTACAGGAATGGTGAGCGCATTATATAATAAACTAAAAATCTTTTCAAAACACTAGGACAAATCAATTTATTAAATTCAATTAGTCGCAAAAAACGTTATTCTGTATAATTATACGGAATGTGTTATATGTGACTAAAAAGGTGGATAAATTCCCTATCAGATAAGGTATATTTCAAAGGCATACCTAACTTATGTTGGAAGAAATAAAATTTTTATTAGAAAATTGAGATTATTTCTTCACTTAAGAGAGATCACACTTAATTAAGTTGTTTGGTACTTCAAACCACTTAACTTAGTGTGATCTCTCTAAGATTTAATCTTATAGTCCATATTTTTAAGTTCATTTGTAGATCAACTGATTATTTTTGGTAAAATTGTTCTATACACATCCAGTAAAGTCTATTAATACTGTAGAAACTAGTGTTCTTAAGTTTATTCTAGATATATTTCATTTATAGACATTATGTAGTGTATGCTTATTGACAAACACGTTATAGCGCGTCTTCAGTAGATTTTATTTTTTTAAATACCATAATTAGGGTTTTTACTCTCTTGGGCGTTGTAAGAGTTCATGCAAAATGGATAAAGTAAAGAATTTTAAAAGATTTGGTGAAGATGGTGAACCTTGGATATTATGTCACATCATTCGATACATTGCATTAGTCGGTGATTCGCCCGCGAGCCGGACATGATGCATTTTTGTTTGTTGACAAATAAATAAACATTGTGAAGTAATTCCGTGTTCTGAAGCGATAAAAATAATTGAAATGAGCGCGTAAACTACTGCACTTCAATGTTGTGTATGTGTATTGTGCCGTCTATCAATAGAATACAGCGAAATTATTGTGTGAAATGTGGTTGGCGTGAAGGTTTTAAAATTTTGAGTTGAGTGACATAAGTCTATAAGACTAAGTTCTTTTTTCTAAAACCATTTATAGAGAACTATTATCTAAACCGAAACCATAATAAGACTGTTTATAGATATAATAGTTTTGAGGCGTATAAAGTGTGCTCCTTGGGAAGTTCCATGTGCCTGTAATTTCACCAGCACCCTTTAACCTTCCGAACCGAAATGCTGCAATGCTCACATTACTGTTTGGCGGCAGAAACAAGTAAAGTGGCAGTACTTCCCACGACGAACTTTTTCACAAGGAGCTCTACTGCTAATAAAACTTTTCGTAGGCATATACAAACACATTGTACTTATTGCACGATAGTTTTGAGGGTGGTATTACCCTGCCATATGTACTCCAACTCAAGTTGAGAAAAAATCAATTGTTCCATTTATACCTTCTCTATAAAAAAGACAAGGATCTTTTCTCTCGCTTTTAGATGGTGCATAGTAAAATTTATTTGTATAACTGAATATAATCTCCCCTTAAAAATAACCAAGGATAGGTAGTATATATCACATAGTCCTCATAATTAAAACAAAAGATTATGAACATGTTTCAATATCAGCTTTATCATATAAAAATACCGACTGCGTTTCAATGATACTTGTGACGAATGTGAGCTAATATTGCACTCTCTGATGCTAATAAAATTGTCCAAATAATATGAAGTGCTTTTCATTTAATATTGGCAACGATACGGAAAAATTAATCTTGTGAAATTGCCCCACCAGCAAGTAAGGAAGTGGCAAGGTCGGAATCTTTTGAATGTCTTTGACTAAACAAGTGTATTCAACTTCTGCCCAGTTTGTCACTACAGTGGCCATTTTTTACGAGTAAAACGGGAATAATCTTTGTTTATTAAGTGAGGTAAACCAGTTTTTTTATTTTTTTTTATTGATCGGTATAGATACAGAGCGGACAAGGAGCAAGCATGAGGTAATAGAGAATTTTATTTAATTTACATATTATCTTTAAATAATTATTTTTTAATTATACATCACACATGTTATTTTGATCCCAAAGTAAGTAATTACAGCACTGTTATGGAAATATGAAACAGCGACGATACCACAAACACCCGACCCGGCCGGGGATCGAACCCGGAACCTCTGAAAAAGCGCCACCATGAAACCTGGTGTGCAAGCCACTCGACCATAGAGGTCGTCATGTGTAAACTATACTGCCCCCGGAACGAAAAAGGGCACGACTGTCGTATAAAGCATGCTAGTTGTCCCTTTTTTCGTTACGAGGGCAGTATAGCCTTCCATTTGTGGAAATTTATTCTTAATAATATTATTATCACACCACAGTATATAATTATGGCGGTGCAATTATTGGATTGTCTTTAGAAAAACAAAATAATGAGTCAACAAGGTCAAGCTAAAAAACAGTGCCTTGTGGCATATAGGCTCAAGAATTGATATGAGATCTTTCAACTCTATCATCAACATCTGAAAAATTTGAATAAGGCGGTCAAAGTGTGACCGCCCTGTTCAACTTTTTCAACCCATCAAAAAATATTTTTTTTTGTCAAACTGAAAAAGAAGCCTTATGTTTCAGCTGTCATTTTGATGTTCTGCATGCAGATGAGAAACGGAATACTCAAAATTCCGTTTTCTTCATCTTCAAAAAATACTCGTATACGACCTCACAAAACTTTTTGTCTATATTTGTCATATTTTTGTGCTAATTTTAAAGAAGTAAAATCAGTTGCTGCGTAAGGACTTCTAAATTAAGAAAAGTTTTTATTTAACCTTAAAGTCAAGTGTCTACCAAACCACACTCGTATTTTTTCAAACAAACCAATGTTTCGGGCCCTTTACAGGCCGGGGCTAACACGTTGCTTGTTTAAAAAATTTATGCACGTGATTTAAATCCGAAAACAAAAATGGTTTTATTTTCAATGTGTAACAATCACGAAAGCCTAAGAACTCAATTTGATACTAGTTTGTTCTTATTAAAATGTTTTCTACATTATTGAAGAGTCAAGTGTAACTTGAAGGTGCAAGTAAAACACTTTATAATAGTAGTAAAACTACGAACACTGTTGTTAGTAATATTAGTAGCAGTAGAGCTTCTTGTGAAAGAGTTCATCCAGGGAAGTACTGTCGCCTTACTTATTTCTGCCGC